CGAAGCCCCGCCCCCCGGCAAGCGCCCGCCCGCCTACGAGAGCCTGCGCGGGGGCGTGACCTCGGCAGGCCCCGCCCTCGCCCGCGAGGAGGAGCCGCCCCTTCGCCGGGGGGGCGGAGCCTCCGCCCGCCGCGGGAAGGAGCCCGAGAGTGAGTGACAGGGGCGGGGCGGGGCTTGCGGCGGGGCCACGCCCCGTGGGCGGGACTGACCCGCCCCTTTCGCCCCTTTTGGCAGAGGCGCCGGAGCCGCCCCGGGAGGAGCGGGGCGGGGCGGGGGCGGCCCCGCCCCCCTCGGGGATCCCCGTGCGCGCCGAGGGGCCCCGGGGGCGGCCCGGGCCCCCCCTGCCCTGCCAGACCTTCCCCGCGTGCGGGAGGGCCGCGGGTACGTGCGGGACCGGCGGGCACGTCGTGGGGACGGGGGGGGTTTTGTAACGTGGTTCTGTGCACTATTAAAGAGAGATGCAGCTGGAAATGGGCTTGTTGGGGGGCTGGGACCCCCCAAAAATGGGAGCGGGAACACCAAAAAATGGGATTGGGATCTCTCTAAGAGTGGGAGCGGGATCCCCCAAAAATGGGGCTGGGACCCCCACCAAAAATGGGGCTGGGACCCCTCTAAAAATGGGAGGGGGAACACCGAAAAAATGGGATTGGGATCCCCCAAAAATGGGACTGGGACCCCCCAAAAATGGGAGCGGGAACACCAAAAAATGGGACTGGGACCCCCAAAAATGGGACTGGGATCCCCCAAAAATGGGAGCGGGACCCTTCTAAAAATGAGAATGGGATCCCCAAAAATGGGACTGGGACCCCCCAAAAATGGGAGCGGGAACACCAAAAAATGGGACTGGGACCCCCAAAAATGGGACTGGGATCCCCCAAAAATGGGAGCGGGACCCTTCTAAAAATGAGAATGGGATCCCCAAAAATGGGACTGGGACCCCCCAAAAATGGGAGCGGGAACACCAAAAAATGGGACTGGGACCCCCAAAAATGGGACTGGGATCCCCCAAAAATGGGAGCGGGACCCTTCTAAAAATGAGAATGGGATCCCCAAAAATGGGACTGGGACCCCCCAAAAATGGGAGCGGGAACACCAAAAAATGGGACTGGGACCCCCAAAAATGGGACTGGGATCCCCCAAAAATGGGAGCGGGACCCTTCTAAAAATGAGAATGGGATCCCCAAAAATGGGACTGGGACCCCCCAAAAATGGGAGCGGGAACACCAAAAAATGGGACTGGGACCCCCAAAAATGGGACTGGGATCCCCCAAAAATGGGAGCGGGACCCTTCTAAAAATGAGAATGGGATCCCCAAAAATGGGACTGGGACCCCCCAAAAATGGGAGCGGGAACACCAAAAAATGGGACTGGGACCCCCAAAAATGGGACTGGGATCCCCCAAAAATGGGAGCGGGACCCTTCTAAAAATGAGAATGGGATCCCCAAAAATGGGACTGGGACCCCCCAAAAATGGGAGCGGGACCCTTCTAAAAATGAGAATGGGATCCCCAAAAATGGGACTGGGACCCCCCAAAAATGGGAGCGAGAACACCAAAAAATGGGATTGGGATCCCCCAAAAGTGGGGCTGGGACCCCCACCAAAAATGGGACTGGGACCCCCCTAAAAATGGGAGGGGAACACCAAAAAAATGGGATTGGGATCCCCCAAAAGTGGGGCTGGGACCCCCACCAAAAATGGGACTGGGACCCCCCTAAAAATGGGAGGGGAACACCAAAAAAATGGGATTGGGATCCCCCAAAAATGGGACTGGGACCCCCCAAAAATGGGAGCGGGAACACCAAAAAATGGGACTGGGACCCCCCAAAAATGGGACTGGGACTTCTCTAAAAATGGGAACAGGAACACCAAAAAATGGGGTTGGAATCCTCCAAAAATGGGGCTGGGACCCCCCAAAAATGGGACTGGTACTTCTCTAAAAATGGGAGGGGGAACACCAAAAAATGGGACTGGGATCTCTCTAAGAGTGGGAGAGGGATCCCCCCAAAATGGGACTGGGACCCCCCAAAAATGGGACTAGGACTTCTCTAAAAATGGGAACAGGAACATCAAAAAATGGGATTGGAATCCTCCAAAAATGGGGGTGGGACCCCCCAAAAATGGGAGCGGGAACACAAAAAAATTGGACTGGGATCCCCCAAAAATGGGACTGTGACCCCCACCAAAAATGGGGCTGGGACCCCTCTAAAAATGGGAACAGGAACACCAAAAAATTGGACTGGGATCCCCCAAAAATGGGACTGGGACCCCCCTGCAGCCCCTCACAACGTGCTCAGAGGGGGATTTGGGGGGAAATTACCCTAAATAATGGGGGAAGAGGTGATAGCAGAGAATTTGTGGGGAAATGACCTACAAGGAAGGGAATAATAGTTGGTACTAACTGAAAGAAAGGAGAGCGTGGATAATGGTGGATTTTATTTTCGTGAGGGGCCGGGGAGGGGGGTAAAAATGAGAATGGGATCCCCAAAAATGGGACTGGGACCCCCCAAAAATGGGAGCGGGACCCTTCTAAAAATGAGAATGGGATCCCCAAAAATGGGACTGGGACCCCCCCTGCAGCCCCTCACAACGTGCTCAGAGGGGGATTTGGGGGGAAATTACCCTAAATAGTGGGTAATGGGGGAAGAGGTGATAGCAGAGAATTTGTGGGGAAATGACCTACAAGGAAGGGAATAATAGTTGGTACTAACTGAAAGAAAGGAGAGCGTGGATAATGGTGGATTTTATTTTCCCCATCCCTGTGGGGGCCGGGGTCTCCCCATCCCTGAGGGGGGCTGGGGTCTCCCCATCCCTGTGGGGGGCTGGGGTCTCCCCCCCCCTGAGGGGGGCCGGGGTCTCCCCATCCCTGTGGGGGGCTGGGGAGGGGGCTTGAGTAGCCGTGGGGACATTGGGGAAGGGTTTGGTGGCAGCCTGAGGGGCCTGGAGTTTCTGGGGAGGGGGGAGACAGAGCCCCCCCATCTCGTAGTGGGGGGTGGGGAAGGAGTTTTGGGTGGTCGAGCGTCACGGGGAGGTTTTGGGGGGCTCTGTCGCTCTCAGGGGTCTCAGGAATTTTGGGAACCACCCCCCATGGCTTCTCTCTTGCACCTGCAGGGGGTGTGGCTGCACAGGGCGTGGCCACCCCTGTCCCGCCCACAGGGGGAGGAGCTTCTGTCAGGTACTGCCCCTCCCCCCCACACCTTTCCAGCCGTGCAGGACCCTCCCCTCCCCCCTCACAGCTGCCCCTCCCCCTGCAGCCTCTTCGGGACCCTCCGTGACCCCCCAGCGCTGCCCCACGGGGGTAAGTGGGGCTTCACCCCCCCATTTCCCACCCCTCAAAGTGAGGGGGGGGCGCAGGGGTGACACCTGTGCCCCCCACCCCCAGGCTACACCAACCCCTTCACGGCCCCCGTGGCCCCCAGACCCTCCACCAACCCCTTCGAGAGCAGCGGTGAGTGACCCCCGACCCCCAGGCTGGGGTCTGGACCCCCCCCATTTCCAACCAGGGGGGCCCCCTGACCCCCCATTCCCCATCCAGGGTGGGTCTGGACCCCCCTGACCCCTCATTCCCCATCCAGGGTGGGATCTGGGGGTCCCAATCCTGTGCCCCTCTTTCAGGCTCTGCCTTCATCTCGCCCCCCGTTCCTGGGGGCTTCCCCAGCCCCTTCCAGGCCGATGGTGAGAGCTGAGGGGGGGTTAAATACTATTAAATATATTTATATATAAACTGCCCACCCCCTCGACTGACCCTCCCTGTTCCCCCCAGGGTTGCCTTTCGGCGGGTTCAGCGTTGCCAAAGCTTCCACCAACCCCTTCGTGGTGAGGACCGGGGCTCGGGGGGGGGGGGCCGGACCCCCTTTCCC